CCACATTACATTAATCGCCAGCCCCGAAGAGAACATCCACAACGATCACCTATCACCATGTTTTCGTGGGGAGGTAGCCTACGTAAGATACCATTTCTTAAATTCTCTGTTCGCACCACCCACGTTTCATAAGTTCCACCCCAATAAACACGAATGATATCGATGCACGAAGATAACAATCCTGCAAGCTGTCCTGGGGTCTTTTTTTCTACTCCCTCTTGTCTACTTCAGGGTCGATCTGACGAGTGACTTTCCTCCATGATCCATTTTTTTTTTTTTTTTTTTTTGTTTTTTTTTTTTTTTTTTTTTTCCGCACATTATCGATATCAGGGGAAGGGCGGTTAAACGCATTTGTTTTCCGCGTTATCAAGCTCCCTACCCTCAAAAACTCCCTGCTCAAACCAGTTGTTTTCATTTTTGTCCCATGTTCATGTTGGGTTATTATCACTACCATTGAGCATATAATCACCCCTGTCCTCAGGTTTAGGTTTATTATTTTGTTTCTTTCCCTGCCAAATTCATTCCTCTCTGGATGCGCGCATCCTTATAAGCTCATGCGGGATACAGGACTAACAATCTACAACCAGTGCCGTCGATCAACATTGACCCCGGAAAGGAGAGAAACCCCCCGGCCTCCCCAACACCTCTTGATTTCCCTGACTACTTTCCTGATTCAAAGCCCAAAGCACTCAATGAGGACAGTTGCGATGACTTCTATAGGTTGCTATGCGCTATTAAAAAGCCCCAAGATGTCTCGCCCATTCACATAGAGTCTCTGAATCTTACTACAGAGTCCAATGTTCCCATATCAGAAATTATTCCGTCAGGTGTTTTGAAGACCTTCCCTCCCTATCAATGGACGCTTCAACCCTCAGCCACAGAAGCGTCAGGAACAGACGCGATGCCAGTTCCCGTTCTCATGAGCAACGGCTCCCCGTTTCCAAGCAAAGAGAGATATGATCTTCTGAAAGAGGAAATTCTCTATGATAATGATGACGCCTTTCGGGCAGTTTCGCGGCTACCCTCTCTACCCGGACGTGAGAAGATCAAGCTCACCCAGAGCAGAAAGTTTTGGGTCGGCCCTTGACCAGGTAGCCCAATATTGGGACACCAGTTTAGATCAATTCTTTGAACGTCCCGTAGTTGATGACCCCCCCAAGGAAGAAAGCGAGTATCCGGATAAAATGCATATCGATAGCCCACCAGCGGCGGGGAAACAAGGTTTTGGCGTTCCGGAGGGCAAAAAGAGCACCAGTGCGGAAGCCAGGACTGGGGACACAGGTGACGACGAGACCGCTCAAGGACCGCACACAAAAACAATGTATTGTGGCCGAAGGACTGGTACTGGTCGTGAATGCCCAGATGATCTACGTGAAGAAACCCTCCGTGGCTTGGTGGAAATGGTTGCATGGGCCTTTGGATGTCAAATTACCATTCCAAGCCTCCCGCCCCGCCTTCAAGTTAAGAGCATGCTTTTCCCGGTCCGCCAAAATTTTGTTGTTGCGCGGTCTCCCCAGGACAGACAAGCTGCACGAAAAGGTATACTCGAGGGACCCATGGTTTTTGTCCAATGCAGGAGCGAAACATTATTCTATGACAAAGATAACCCATCCGGGAGCAGAAATGTGGAGATATGTGATCTTTTACGCGAGATTGCTGCGATGCTTCTGTTCGCACAAGAAAGAGCAAGAGAAGGCAAAACGGAGATGCGACCTGGCGACGGAAAATGGTGGACCACAAAGCCACGATGGGGTGGAGCGGATAACCCAGGCCCGGAAGCCGATAAAAATACCGATAAACCCAAGGAACCTACTCCCGATACGGATGTCCAGTCCGCAAATAAAAGATCCAAATATGATAGATCTTCACTTCCATTTAGGCGCCATGGGCCCAGCGGCTCAAAAAAGCTGAGCGTTGCTGAGAGATGGAAAATCTTGCAACCTGGCCCAAGTTTGTGGGACAAGAAAATGAAATACAAGCAGATCGGGAAAGACAAAGACTCTCCTGTTGATGATGTTAGTCATCTCTTATTTTACTCACAATTCCACTCTCTTACGTTGCGCTATGTCTATTCGTATTGTATACGAGACTGACAATAACCAGATTTTCATGGTATCCTCGATCAACCACCATTTTTCAATCGTCCACATCCGCGTCCATTCCACCTACCTTGAGTGGCTTACAGGTAACAAAGGCAACTTTTCCGACCCGTCAAGAGACAGTACTGGTACCCCGTGGTACGTTCTCCGGCTACGTCGAACCAAATGGTTCGACCTCTTTAACCCGAGTGATAGGCTAGAAGGTTTGGACGGCCTTTGGGCCCTTTTCTCCTGGCTTATGAGATAGAAACGAAAACGAAAGACATCTTCGATTCTGGTCCGTTTTTATTATTAAGAAGTATGCCGGTACCAAAACATGGCGACAGCCCCATGATTTCTATACGTATGGAAGGAGTGCTCAAAGTGGAAGACCTTAAGCATGATCAGGATTCGATGACAAAAAACAGCCCGAGTACCGGCCCTTATTGGCTATTTTTATTTCTTTATTTTTATTTCTC